AGTCTGCAAATTTTCATAGTCGGGACGCCAAGATGTCGAAGTACAGTTCAAATGGCATATTCTTTTATTTCACTTGGAACATATAGTTAATGCTTAAACTTATTTTTAGATATATTTTATTGCCTTAATATCAACTTATCACTCTGTTCGCCTACAACTCGTTCATTTCTATTTATTTTAGGGTATGAATAAACTCTTTTCAAATGAAGTTAGATTAAATATTTTATATAGTAAATTAAGATGAATTAATATACCAACGGATGGTTTAAAATCATCAACTTTGGATTTGAAGAAAGGACTAAGTACAATCACTATTCATCAGATAAACAATTTAATAAAATTTTATTAGCCGTTAGAGAATTCCGAAAATGAGTTTCATCTTAAAACTGCAAAACAGAACAGTTAGGATTAGCTAGGTTACGATAACAAGGATACCAGTCAGTAAAACATGTGGTTGTAGAAGTACTACTACATAATAATAAACATTGATATAGTCCATTTAGATTTGTTGAAACAAATAAAAGAAATTTTAAAGTCGTGTTGAAAATAGTCATTTACGAGGCTGAAAACACACAAGCGAAAAACAGACAATAGAATACTCATCCATAGCACTAATATAAGTTAATATTAAAGATGTCATGTTAAGTAATTGAGACCCTAAACGAGTTGAAAGGACTTTATGTGCAGAACTGACATTCAGATAACCTGTTTATCATATAACAGTATGGTACTGTCGTCCATATATTCGAAATTAGTCATTATAAAAGTGACAGAACTACACCAATTACATGTACTTCCTTCCGAGCTTTCTTCAATACGTCATTGAAGGAAAATGGAAATATCGGGCAACCGAGTGTTGTATACCCTCACTACCTAACGTGTTCATATACAGACCATTCAAATATCTGAAAACGCTTATAATGCATACCCTGCTTTCATAGTCAATACCAGAGGAGTTCTGTGTAACGATATACATGTATGTAGTTTCAGAGCTTATATCGACTAGGTAAGTTAATAATTAACTAATGTCAAATAAATAGTACCACGATTTCAGATTTTCTCAATGTAAGTGAATAATAATATCTATAACGATCCTGTTCGATTCATTTTAATATAGATTTTAACAGTTAAATAAGAAAGTTTTAATGAATTAATTCCTTTTCCTAAGCAATCTCACACATCTAAAAAAACGTCAAGCGAATTAATAAGTTAATTTCATTCCGAACAAAAATAATGTTATGGTTCAACAGTAACCACTTACATATCCACTTGATCAGCCAATTTTGGCATCATAAAGTAATATTTATTATATTATCCATCAATGTTTTATAAGTTGCCGGGTATAATCAGTATGAAGTATCATAATCAGTTGGTGCTTATAAACTTAATTACATTGGCAAAAAAACAGACATTCTATTGGCTATCATGTATATGTTTATTCAACTGCACAACATTATCACTGATTCGATAAATAAGTCTAGAACATTATAATGTTAAACTAAAATCAAACACCTAGTTAGAATATCAAATATCCAATCGGAAAGACCTGTTTTTTTTGTTGTAACTTGTTATTTAGCTATGAAAAATTATGTGCTAAATTTAAAGTAAAAAATAGGCACATTCACTTGTCAATTATGTTTCTCATACTTTCTTATCAATATAAGTTACACAGTAATTCAAAATGAGACCAATTACGCCACATAACATATGTATGTATACGTACACACTATTCCCATATCAGCATTGTGTAATTCTGTTTAATACATTTACAGAAGAACGTTATAAAATAACCAATGTAAGAATTTATTATGCACCTAGTCTGCTCATAACTGAATTACCGAAAACGAATCGCCAAATGAGAAGGTATACAAACGAAAAATGTGTTAATTTATTCAAATCTGACTCAACTTTGACGAATCGTAATAATCAAACGGTACGAAATCCGACTTCAGTACATAACTGGCATCTGATTTCCAAAAATGAAATACAAGCTGAAGTATGTAACTATATCAAACATTGGTGAAGACAAGCTCTAAAGTATAATTTGTACTTACAGTCGTTAAACGCATTGCAGATATGCTTGCATTGTCGATCGAGACATCTAAAAGATCCGATTTTCCAAACACGCTTACCAAGGAAGAATATAACACCTGTATACATTAAGCGAGTGGGTTTCATAGTAAGAAATCAACCCATGAAAAGGTTGGCTATGAAAGGCTCACTTCCAGAAGTATTTTTGACGAAATCAAATAAAAAGTATGAAAGTGAGCAGCCCTAACTTTACTTGATGTTACCAGTTCGAATTACAGTTTCCTCTAAACTTTGACCGATTCTGTTAGACTGGAGGGCCTCCAGTATATTGGTGTATTTCCTTGGTAAACCTTTCGAAAAAACGTCATTAAAAGATTTCCTTATCGGGAAAGAAGTGCACCATTTCGTATCAAGCAATACGGCTACAGTATGAGGTCACCATGTTTATAATCCAATACCTAGCGATAAATAGAGATCTAGTCAGCACATCTACATTTAAAACTGAAACGTGCTTGGTTTTCTCAGTTTTGTTTTATCGAGGACTAATTAAATCGCTGAAAAATTCCCATTATATTAAAACAATTATATGAACGAAGAATATTCTTTTCAATATTTTCTCATCAGGTTCTACAATTATAAATCCAAATTAATCATCCATAAAATTGACCTTAAATCTGGCCAATTTTACGGATTATTAATTTGGACTAATTAAATGCTAAATGATCGGTTTCCACCAGAATTATCTCAGTTGTTGTTACTCATGTATCATATAAGCATTAGTGGTGACAGTTGGGAGTTTATTAAAAACATGACAACACAACACTCCCGATATAATATTTCTTATTAAAAGGCCGTATATACCAGACCCTCAAAGTGTGACTATGTGGATTGAATATATATATATATATATATATATATATATATATATATATATATATATATACCGACGACCTATGATAATACCAGCATTATTTACAAAAAGTAGCTTTCCTCCAACTATCTGACATGACAAGTTGTTTCTTATTAAAATACCAAGAAAGCAACTGAGGCGTAAAATATCGGAAACTATCTTTGTATTTATAAACTTCTAGAAGGCAAAATCTCCTTTATATTTTAAATTTATGATCAAAACTAGTGCAACAGTGAGTCTCTTAAAAGTAACATCCCTCATCGATTCATGAAATTAATCAATAATTACCACTCAACTACAATTTACACTCGAAATAAAAATGAGGCCTCGACTAGGATGTCTTAGTTTACGATGAGTGGCGGGAACCTAGTTCGACAAACCTTCGTTCCTGAATCTAGCTTCAATTACGTAGTGTTTCCCACAATCATGATATTCCCAGATAATCCTCAGAAGATAAGAACTAATAGACTGAATAAATAGATTGAGATCTGCATTAATCCTGCCGATTATCAACATACGAAGGGTACTTTTGCGGACATATGTCTTTTTTCCTTAGTAGACAAAGCCATAAAAGATATTGGTGAGGACTTTCAAAACTCGTTTTCAGGAGAAATCACGCTTACCACTCTAAAATGCAACCTATTTCTCTAAACAGTAAGCCGTTAGACGAGGTAATTGACAGACTAATGTTAATTATTATTAACACATTTACTAAACCTTAAGAACGTCAGTTGTTCAACATGGAGAAATTAACCGTTGTGCTTTAACAAGGCCAGAATATAATTTATGGACAAACCAACGAGATATAAGATAACATGTCTAAGTTTTTGGTGTGGAATTTATTCATATATATCGCTAAATAGAGTTTTGGAATTTTAGCTGATGTCAGTTCATGATGAAAACCCTAAATTTAATTCCTAACCCTAACCATCAAATGTAAATTCCTATTCTAATTCCTCACACTAGTTTATAACCCTCATTGAGTCCTAGTTAGTAGGTGGACATTCTCAAGGTTACTCAGAGGTCGTCCATAAATTGTAGTCTCATCTTTAACAGGATATTTACGAAGTTTAACATCTGTAACCAAACTACGTAGAATATTGAGGTCGTCTGTGAAAGTGACTAACCATTTATTCAAACAGACGAATCCTCTGAGAAACTTCTACCTGAAGTTTGTGCTGATGTCGTTCAGAGGAATGATGAATGCTGCACGACCAAACCATCCAAATCATCCACCTGAGCTACAAATCTTCGCCATCTCAACAGATAAGCTTGAAACGCAAAAATACTCGACTGACAAAAATGTCTAATATTCACAGCTAACCAGATGCCACCAGTATGATTTTCAATTCGAAACAACAGATAAAAAATATACTGATGCTACTGAACAACACACAGTTTAAGGAACTAACATCTGATATTCTCGTTCAGACTATAGAATAAAAATATTACTGAAGCAATCCAAATGAGTAATCGATTTTAAGTTAAGTACGAACGTGAATATCCGATCGCCAAAAACTCATAGATGGGGACAAACCTACCAAAGTTTGAAGTATTGTAGCCTACATATTTAAAGTTGGCAATCGAAGCGATTTTCGGTAGCATAATCTCATATACCATTGACGTGGGACATTTTATTCAACTCATTTACAAAGTAGGTATTAGTGCACATGGTTTAAAATTAGCGAAAATAACCGGGTTTCCTAAACCAGGGTAAATAAAGCTAGATTAACCATGAAATTTAGTGGTTGAAATTTGGAATTCGTAACTTCAGCCTCCGCTCCGTGAAAATAAGTGTGTTTGATAATATATGGAAAGTGACTTTCAAATAACGTGAAATTTTGCCATACAAGCAAAAGGCTCTTATATGAGATGCCACGACTACATACTATACAGATATTATGATCGCTTTATGACAGTTCGACATTGAATGAACTTCAAATATACACCACCAAAACAATTAGACAGTACACCATACATACACGAAGATAATAATGAGACTAGCAATCAGCAGTCTTAAGATAGTTGGTCACCCATAAAGATGAATATTGAGACAAATCAGCAACCAACCAATCTTTTATATTTTCACAATTGTAAAAACACTGAGAAGTAACTATAAAGACAAGATCACCCGAGACAAAGTATGTTTACGGTAAGTACATGATAGTAGGTTATGTCAAACTTCTAAATCCGTGTATTCACTTCCTTTTTCGCTTGTTTTTCTTTCCTTGGAAGGTTTGTTCCGTAGTACTAGAACTTGATGTGGCTGGTCTTCTGGACCGCACTACAGGAAGAGCCTTTCCCAAATATGATAAAAGGGATTGACGATTTGGAAACCTAGAAGCTGAGAAAAAAGAAGACACGATTACTGTTCATTTACGGGACTGCCATCATCGTTTTTCAAATGGACGCGGACACGCCATTTGTTCATAGGTTCAAAAGCATCCCTTTCCTTAGGATGGACCTGAAAACTATAAAAGACTATAAACAGATGGGAATAACCTTTGTCTCCAACAGATAGTCGAGAGAGAGCTTCCCCAAAATCATCGTTACTTCCGAATGCTTAGGATTATCAACACAGTGTTCCACAGACAGTTTCCTCCCTTGAGCTCTTGTACGACGATTATTTAAATACGCAGGATAAACGCAAACCCATCGTTCTTTTGCAGAATATGGCAGATTAGGACTAAATGGAGAAAGTAAAGGCCTTTCCATTATTTAAGGTACGTCGGTGCGACCCTGAGCACAAAATACCCGCTAATCAGATGGAGGCCTTGAGGCCTGTAACGTTTGGGGATGGTAGTTAATGTCAAGCTATGATTCGAATAGTTCTAGTGACTGTGGACGAAACAGAATAAACTTTTGCTCAACCGTTTTATGTTTCTTGTAGCAGTGAATCATCGATGCCCGCAAAACTCATCCAGGCGAATTTGTCTAGCAAATGGTATATATTATGAGGAGGATTGTATTTAGTTGTTTGTCTGGGTAGCTCTAGTAATTGACTTAGGTCATGCTTTTTAGAAGAAAAAGAGAGTGATGTCATCTATCGGCTAAGATGAATGGCTTCCTCGAGGATTTCATAACATGGTTGACGCTTGACAAAGGATGTATCCAGTAAAACTAATAAGGTCGTCATCAATGTTGAAGACTTACAGAAATACTTACTTTGAGCTAAGTGCGAGGTAGACCAGTGCGAACATTCTACTCGATATGTGCTTTTAAAAATGTGGATTTCTCTAAAGTTGGGGGATTGCGATTCCAAGGAGCCTGATGTATACTGAACTCATTTAACGGAGAAAAATATCAAATGTTATGTTTACATAAGATAAGAAATTAAATGATCAACTTCTGAAAAGAATTTTGATATTCTCCAGTTAGGCCATTTTTAATGCTTAATGACTCACTTCTGACTACCACAGTCTACAGATGTTTGTTTTTTTTTCAGACAGAAACTAGGTGCATCTGCTCATGTTAAGTCCATCGTGTATTGTTTGCATACACTGTAGTTAGCAAGCGAGTGATGTGTTGAATATAAGATAGGAACATCAGTTTTGTTCATTATTGATGTAGGGTTTCAGAAATTGTTGTTTTAGCTCTAATCAACGAACAATCGTTAATATATGCAACCAGCTGAAACTTGTGGATCTTGTTGATAATTTTTTTTATCTAATGTTCATACTTAGATTGCTCAGTTAGTGGAAGGTCAAGTGGACTATTCTCTGAGCCGAAGAATGACTGCACAAATACCAGCATCATCATATGTCTTACTGTTTTTCTACTGGCGGACATGGCAGACCCTGATACTCCATTTTTTCAGTCATTTATTGGTGCGTCCGTACATTAGATCACCGCACAGATCTCTTTTTTTACAGAACAGTTTAGTACCTGGAATGTAACATCTGGGTATTTTATTTGATTCCTGCGTTATTTTAAGCTTTTTCATTACAAAACACTTAAAAATGCCACAGATATCTGGATTTGGACTTTTTCTTTAAAGGTAACTGTTACGGGAGAACTGAAGACTTTTGGCGGATTAAAACCTTTTATTGTACATTTATAATTTACTGTGCTTTTGGATGTAATTGTTTTACTTAACTTTTGAACATGTTTGTTTATATCATTATTTCGGACATTTTGGTTTGTCTTTGGTTTGGTATTTTGGTGCTCTCTTTGTCTTTGGTTTAGTATTTGGGAGTTTTGCTCCGGGAACCTACAAAATTGAAGGTTTGTTTTGTAATTGTTATAATTATTGTTGTTAGAACGACATTTGTTCGACTATTTGTGAATTACGAATAAATTTGGTATCTAAATTGGAACTTGGTTCCGTTGTTAATTTGGGTTCGTAATTTGCAAGTAGATCGATAGTCCGTACTTCAATAACTGGAACGAGCAAAACTTGGACGTAACAGTAACATCTTTAGAATTGAAGGATAATAACCCAGTCAAATCAAAAGTTAGAAATGAATGAGTTCAAGGGTTCATTCGGAATGCTATCGATATGTCGAGAAGCGTTTTGTCTACGCTGGCTAGACGTTGCAAGGTGTACACACTCATGATTCGATATGAATGCGTGATCGGGCGCCTTCAGCTAGTGTGTTCAGTAAAACTGATGATGAATGCCAAAACTTACGGAGCTATTTATTCTGGGGATTTGTTCATCACTTCAATTTCTTTTGGCGTTTCTTTAATTGTTGTCATCATTTTAATATATAAATTTCCCCTTTGGTTCACTCGTCATTGTTATTACTATATCACTAACTGTGACTAACTTTTCGGTTATATCCAGTCTTCTAACAAACGTTCCATCTTCCTCTTGCTTCATGGTCCTTCATGGTTTGCGATGTCTGATTATTGTATGTTGGTTCTGGCTATGTAGACTAACTGTTTCTGTTATGTGACTGTCATGAAACGGAAGCGTGTGTTGAGTAAGAATGGGTTGCGGAAATTAATTATAATATTCAGAAGTAATGGCTTTTAAACGAAGCAAAATATAAATTTCGAAAGTCAGTTAATTGTGTAACTTCATTAGAATTCAGAAATTCAGTATTGGTCATCAGAGGAAGATAAGAAGACAGTTGCTATTGTATAAGAAATAAAAGTAAAGAAGAAATTTCAAAAACACCCGTGAGATAGAGGGAGATGACAAATGTTCTGTAGAAATGTAGGTGATAACAGACAGAAATTTGGACTTGGTGCTTGTAGAATTATGGTCTACGATGATATTAGTACTGCTCTAATAATAAACCTAATCCTAAAGTTATAGACTTGTCATGATATAGCTGCCTAATCTATAAGATCTCACGTGGAAGTTACATCATCGTCTACACCAACTCATTGCATCATAACAATTATCAATACATGATGGAGGACAAGCTTAGGCTAGAGATAGGACAATACATTTAATATGGTTAAAAGGTATAAGATAACAGGGACCACGCCTGTATGACCGAGCCATGCCATTCGATCAACTCCAATTCATTCAATTAACTGTTCCCGCCTTTTCCATCGTTAGGTATTTCTCCGCGTTAAATATTGAATATCTATTTTCCAAGTGGTCTTATGTTCAGCCTTGAAGATTGTGTGGTTATGGTTCAATGCCACTACACTACTCTCCCACCAGAATCAACGTGATGTTGGTTCGATACCAATTGGATGGAATCGTCGCGCGCCGGAGGTTACCAAGGATAATAAGAATCCTCCGGGTATTGATAAGCTGAAAGATAAACCAAAAAGGCGGCAACATCTGGTCGGAGTATACATGTAATAATCTCAAAATATCTGCTTTCATGCTTAACACGCTTAAAATGAAAATTTGGGTGAAGATTATTTGAGCTATAAAAAATGGGACCACAATAATAATAATGAAACGATGCGTGGTAATAGCCGTTGGTTAATAACTTAGCGTATGGGTAGTAAGTATTTCGTGTTTAGAAATATTAAAGTAATGAATATTGTAGAAATGTTAATATTGGTATTAGTTTGGGTTTAATTTATGGAATCAAATAACTTCACGCTAGTAAGCTGTCCATATGGGTTGATTTCCAATTGCATCTGTATTACTAGGCTAACTGAAGGAACAAAAGTATTACCGTGAAGAAGAATTCCAACTAGTGTTCCAGTTAGTTTGATACGGTTTACTTAGTTAAGGGAAGATTTTCTCAACCTCATTTTTACTTGACCGTGATAAAATTTAGTATACTACTAATACACATGAATGGTTATCAAAACAAAACTTAAATACGTGAGTGATAATTATATGAATTTTGGACAGATATCTAGGAACAAATCGTTAAACATGTGTGTATTCGTAAGTGACATGGTTTAGACTCAATGTTCTGCGTCGCCATAGACTATTTATTTACATTTATACTTGCCGGCTGATTGGGCATACAAGTTAGTTGCAAGTATGCAGTTCATCATAAGGGGGAACACGAGTTAATTGAGATATAGTGGTTATAAGTTATTGAAATCAGTTAAGCCTATGTGTCATATTACTAAGTGATGTGATGCTGCAAGATGTATTTGGCTAAATAAGTTTTTACAAGATGATTAACAGTGAGGGATGCTCATGTAACTATCAGGTAGAACATAAGTTGTAACCAAGGGGAGTACATTCCCAGCTCATGTCTATGATAATGGCTTGAACCTTAATCAGTGTTGGGGTCAATTCGACACTGATGTTTTCAGTTTGCAGGAGATTTGCTCGACTGCTTATACTGATTATTTGCATGCATGATTGTGTCGCTAAACTATCAATTAGACTGATAATGTTTTGAGATATTTACTGAATGAGCAACTGATAGAGAAACATACTGTAATCATCTGCAGTGAATGAAGATACCGGGAAAACACTATTTAATGATAATTAAAAAATAATTTGCTGACCGGTTTTGTTAATAGTTTCATTAATATCATCAATCATATTATAGTGTTGATTGAAGATTAGCCAGTGGGAAAATAGGTATTGTTTCATTAGGTGATTCGAAATTATCAGAAATTTATAACATTCAAAAATCCGAGACGCCTAATTTGATTATAAATTTCGATTCAGAAATATTCGTTTAGTGTTAATTCTAGTAGGCTACGGAGACTCGATTTCAAACGTTTGTTAAGCCAACAGATACCTGAGTATTTAGTTATTTTACTAGTGCAGTACCTGAATTTTTAATCTTATTACCTAAACTATGTTCGAATTATAGGCTGCTAAAAAGACAGCATGTAGGTCAGTGTCATTCTCCGTGTATCAGTACCTTGGTGGCCGTTATACACCAGAATGCATTTAAATCATCTATCAGCAAGTGCCAAATTTTTTACCATTTATCGAGATCAGTTGGAATTTCTAAACTACCAACTTTACTTCCTATCGCTCTCCATATCTTGATATCGTCAGTATATAATAAAACCGATGATGGTAGGAGACTAGAAAGATCATTTACATGCGGGAGTGTAGCGGCAAATAAATCCCCAAAATAAGTAGCTCTGTAAGTCTTCGACGTTTAGTTTCGATGGTCTCACCTGGTTAACGGCTCTCGGTCACGTATCCACACCACATCACGAGCGTGTACGCTGCGCCTCACATCTCCTACAACCGCTAGCCAGCTTAAATCAGTTACATCTCGACATATCGATAGCCTATCAATTATATCTTCGAACCTCTTCGCTTCTGACTTCTGATTTCACTAGTCTGGTACATTTCCACTACAGAAGTTGTTACTGGTTAAGGTGTGATCAAACTCCGAATGCTTGTGGCATCTTTAGGAGGAACAACACCGGCCTGAAAACTGAACCCTGAAATACTCCACTTAGTTGACGCCTAACTAGAGAGTTATTAATCCACCCTAATAAATTGCCTCCAAATCCGGTATTATTTGATTGATATAATATCCGGTTTTGGACTGTAACCACACGACCTTTGAAGCCGAGCATGTGACTACTAAAAAGATTTATATTCAACAAGTGACAGGAAGTAAAGGTTAACTATAGAGGACACGTTAACATTATTTCAGTTCAATTCGATCGGATGGCATGGTTCAGCATCACAAGCGTGGTCATTCTTGTGTAAATTATCTATTTCATTCATATTAAATATATTATCCTATCTCCAGCCT